ATGGATATTCCATGAATCGAATTGTGTCGAATCGAATCGGACCAATTCGATYCGATTCATGCAATATGTATCCTACGGGGTTGCAACCTGGTGTTTCGGGATTGGCCCCTTCAATTCTTGTCGGGACCAAATCCAACGCCCATCTTGTTTCTTKTTGCTCATYGACMTGGSCTTTCGTCTCACCGCGCCCTAGGACTTTTCTTCCATCGAGGTGGCCGCCTTGAGGCGGTCCCAGACCCCCTCGGCCCGTTGCATCCCCCGCYTGGTCCACGCTCGGAGGCTCCTCCCCCCCGTCGAGGGGGAAGCACCGAAACCGTCGCAACCGTCCTCCGGCGCTTCGAGCCGCAGCAGGAGCTTTCCCGCACCCACGGACCGCCTCGGRCCGTTTCGCTTGGCACCGTATTTGCCGCTCTTTCCCGTGCGGTTCCAGGCCGTCTGGATGCTCGGGGCCGTTTCGGCTGGCATCGATCCACCCGCCTTCTTCGGTGGTTGCTTGCCGTTTCTATCGCCGCCTCCCGCGGCATCGGCCCCCCCGCCGGTGTCGCTCCGGTAGTGAAAGTTGGCGACGGGCCCACCCCCCTCTTTCAGCAGGCCCCGGAGCAGGGGGGTGGCCTCGCGGAGGTCCCGTATCGGCCGGCCCTCGAGCTCGAGCATGCACATTCGTCCCGGTGCGTAGAACGGGGGGCCCTCCCCGTACCGCGAGTAGCGGACGCTCGTTGCGGGCGCCCGCCCATCCTTGTGCTCGTTCCCCCCGGGGCGGTTCCAGGGAAAGGACGGCCACCGGTTGCGGCCGGTATCGGGGGCGGGGGTGGCAATGTTTCGGTACGAATAGGTTTCCCGGGCCCCGTATTTGTGCTTGGATTCCATCGTCTTGTCGGAGGACCCAAACTGGACCAGCGCGGCCCGTTTCGGAGACACGATCGTTTCTCCGTCCCTGGTCCGAGACTTTTCGACGTCCTCRTCTGGGACCAGGTTTGGAGCGTACAGCGGGCTGTGCCTGTTCCTCAGCTTCGCAAAGACGGTGTACTCCATGCTCCCGGAGGGGTTGCTCGCACCCTTCGAGGCCGAACCCCAGATCGTCTGGCCGTTTGGCCACTCGGAGTGGACCAGGAGCTCGSCATCGTCGTCGGCATCACCGGCTTCGGAGCTACGGGAGACAAAGGTTGTCGCCGTCTCGTATACCGCAACGGCTTGGTCCATGGGGACCTCCTTCCGTGGAGAACGGGGCCGAACWCGAACGCTGCGCAAGAGACTTTCCCGTTGGTTTCCCTTCTKGATCATTTCGCTATCCTCGGTGGTGGTGGGTTTGGTGTAGCAAAAGATCTTTTGCGACCAGAGGGTCCTGGCGTCCTGGTAGGTAGCGTTCGGGTGGCTCAGGACCGACTCTATAGCCAGGTTGGCYGTGTCCTCGAGCGGGCGGACCAGCTCTAGGCCCTGTACGCTGGCCACCCTGCGTCCATCGAGGGGATCGTACAGGGCTCCCTCGTACATCCAGAGTTGTTGCTGTTGCTGCCCTGTGTTTTGTTGTCCTTTGCGTCGGCGTTCTGGATGGCCGTCTCCGGATTCCAGAAACGGCATGCGTGCTCGAACAATCTTGCTCGSAGTCGTCGTCGCTTTGGGGGCATCGGGTGCCGCGGTTGCCAGCCAGCCGCTCTTTCCCTTGYCGAAGCCGATCGTCCCCGCGGCAGCGAACAGAGCGAAGAGCATTCGGCACAGCGGCTGCATGTTCTTCTGGAGCGTTTTTATGGAAASGAAGGTACGAGTACGCGCAAAAAAACGGAACAGTGCTCGCTGCGCAATTGTGRTGTGGAACGCTTATTGCCGCTTCCTTGCTGTTGTATTGCTGGCTTGCGRCTCGGCACAGGTTTCAGAAGAGATTGTTGGCCGCGATGCTAAATTAAGTTTTACAGTAATTAAGGCTTCGTAACAACTTCTCTTCCATCGTCAATCTTGCTGTAACACTCGCATCCGAAATGACGATGGATCGATCTCTTCGTAAAAAAGTGATGATGGATGATCTCGTATCTCATTCCGTACCATACCGTAGCGACGACAGACCGCATTATTTTCGGTTGATTTTCAAGGAGTGATGCTGGTCATAGTAGTACTGGGACTACTACTAGTAGTAGCAGTAGCAGTAGCAGCAGGAATAGTGACAGAAATCTTCCAAAATCTCCCCTATCATTTCTTGATTTCTTGACATTTACAAAAAACCAACTTACTTAAAGAGCCTCCTGCAAAAATCACGCTTGTTCTTTTATTCTTCTTTCCACCACCAACAAGAAATTCCTCGTCTTCGTCCTCGTCTTCTTCTTGTTCTTGCTTGTTCCTCTTGTTACTACTACTAATCTTGTTCTGCTTCTTGCTGATGATGATGTTCTTGTTGCTGCTGCACTGACCAGCATCCCTGGGCCCCTCCTTGTCACTATCAGACTCCTTCTTCTTCCTCATCTCTTGGTGTTGCTGCAGCACCACAAGAAGCACGGACCACCACTAGCATGGTGATTAGTTCTTGGGTGAAATCACCGGCAGCCAATCTACTAACTATTGCTGTTGGTGTTCTTTACTACTACTACTACTACTATTATTATTATTATTACTACTACTACTACTGGTAGTAGTAATCCCATGAAAATCATACTAGCCTTTGGTGTTGTTCTTTTCACTTCCCTGCCTGACTTCTTCTTAGTCCATTGATCATTGAATTCTTGTTCTTTTTCATATGCTTTTGTATTTGTCATATTTATTCTTGGTGTTACTGCTGGTGTGTTTGATATTTTTTGTCTACTCCTATTACTATTATTCTTTGTGTCCTGTTGTTTTCCATTTCTGCTTTTGTTTTGGCATTTATTGCCATTTATTTGAATTCGATACAAATATTTTGACTTGATGTTTTTATCATGATAGTAGATGACTGGAAGTATAAAGTCTTGGGAACAAGTTTTTTTTTGAGAATCTTGGTGGAGTGACCACTGTGATCTCAAAACAATTACAGCATTCATTTCAAGATTAAAGAGAAACACATTCAATGATGTTCAGTCATTGTTATTGTCACAATGCTCATTCCAAAATTAAAGAGGRACTTCCTCCCAAAAAGACTTAAATATTTAGTCATTTGTTGTTGTGATTACTCATTCCAAAATYATAGACAACMSCATTCTTCCTTCCACCAAGACYTGAATGTTCTRTCATTGTYATGACCACCAGTCATTCAAAAATTGAATTGGTTCTTTGGACTTTTAGATTCTTGAAGAGAATCCAACTCCCAAGGCTGGATAAATTCAGTCATCAGCCACATAACCATCAAAATTGAAGTGACAAAAAAAATGACTGGACAAAAAAGGCAATGTTTCATTGTACTAGTAGTAGTAGTAATTACTAGCTAGTTCTAATGCAGCTGATATTACAAAGACACCACCATTTAGGACAAGTATTGTAAGAGTTCCAAAAATGTTCAAGTTACTACTAAATTGTCTCTTGCCATTTTGGCTCCTTCCTTTCTGTCAATACTAGTACTAGTCTAATGCTGAGCCAAAACAACCATGATGACAAKAAACCCCCAWCTTTTCCCATTGTAAATGGATTAACAATAKGTTGTTGCTAAGGAAATTTATTCTCCTAGAAGCAAATGCTGCTAGTTTCTTGAAGAATGAACAATCCAGGGACACTTGTTCACAATGTGATAAAACAAAATCTACTAAGTGATTCCTCAAATGGGAAATTTTACTAGTGATCAGCAGGCACTTCTTGCATTAAAACATACTGAAGTCAATATCAAGGAAATTCAGGAGAAAGAAAAGAATATTCTATACAGCAAAGATAATGATATTGACAACAGCAGCAGTCAAGCAATCAGATGCCAAAACATGCTTCAAAAATCTTCTAATACTACTACCAGTAGTAGAAGTAGTAGAACAACGACAAGTTACATAAAATCTTTGAGAGGTGTGCTGCTCTCAAACTAGTAGTCATAATGATGGAAGCATTTTTCAAAGTACTAAAACAAGTAGTAGTACTAGTTGGTGATTTAGCAAAGTCTGGAAATATTTTACTAGTAGTAGTACTAGTTGATTTAGTGAAGTCTGGAAATATTTTATTGACAAGAACAAGATGGGCATGGGATATGGTTCATGCTGTTAGAATAAGTTCACAGAAAGAAAAGAATGAGCTACACATTGGCACTTCAATTAGTACAAGATATCAAAGTTCATATAAATGTGGAAGAATGAAGGCACCCAAAGTACCACTAGTAGATTCATGTGCATTTGCACTTGCTAACAATAATCCAGGCTAATGTATCACTGTTGTTGCTCTGCAGATGATAGGCAAAATCTAATCTAACAAATATGAAAAGAAATAAGAAGCTACCACCAAGAAGTATCAGATTACTACATGGTGAAAGTTTTGATGTTATCATCCAAGACAAACATGATTTGTAAGACACTAAAATCATTTAGACACTATACAAAATTGAATTTTCAAAATGAGAAGGAGCAAGAAAATGGATTTGGTCAGCAGCTTGTTACTGCTTTTGGTTCACCACTTTATAACACATCTACACATTCACATTATTGTTCAATAAAAAGAGATCCAGGAGGAGATTGGTAATTGCTGGTGGTGGAACAAACCACACAGAGCAGTTCATCAGTTTTCTCTTGTGGTCCAGTTACAACAGAACAACATCAAAAGTAATTCATTGGGGTCAGTATTAGAAGTACTAGTAGTACCAGACTAGTACTGTAAGATGTCTCACAAAGCATTGGGAGGAGTGGTGAACTTTTCCTCCATCAGAATTCTTTTTGCTGTCATCTCATCCTGTCTTAATGCAGACAAATTTATAGTTAGTACAAAGCATGATGGGAAAATAAGACTTGTCTTCTTGTGATGAATCATGCTGTGACATCAAACAAATAACCCATTGTCTTTGTACTAGTAGATTACTTCAATCACCTCAAACCATACCTACTAAGACATAATTTCTAGAACTTGGAAAAACACAGATTTGAAGATGATGTAATCTGGGGGGAAGCTCCTTGTTGATGTTTTAAGAAAAACAAATATGTTGGAAGAAGAGCATGTTCCAAAATAACCACCAGTCAACAAGAAGGATTTTAAAATCTTGTTGGGATAAAGAACTCCTCCCAGCAGAAGACATTGCTTGTGTAACATACATCAGTACAGAACAAACATTGTTGGTGGCATATTTTCTGACTTTCTCAAACAAACAACAACAAGAACACACTCAATAAATATATACTGCAGATTGCCAAATCACATTAATCTTGCTTTTTGTAGCTTACTACCACCACACTAGTAGTACTACCTGCCTTTTTGGAAGTGGTAGTAACAATGCTTCAGAAAGGGTACTAGTAGATCCAACAATGATTAACAACTTGGATGCTGGAAGAACCCCTGCAATGATTAGTAGTAACATCACAGATGTTGTTGAAAATATTTACTGTAAGCAACAAATGGTGCTATCAGCAGCATGTCATCTACATTCACCATGTCTGTCATGAAACTATTTGATATTAGTAGTACTAGTAGTAGTAGGATTGTGAAATTATCAACATTGACAGATATTTTGTTCATTGCTTAGTACTACTACTACTAGCTAGTACTGGCACTACTAGTAGAGGATGTTGAAAAGGTTGACTGGATGAGAGTGGACTGTGAAGAAGAAGGTGACTCCAAAATTGTCCCTCTACTACTACTACCTCCATTCCTTAATACTGCTACAGTTTGCCCTGCTACTTTATTTTTTCAAAAATAATGGTACAGTATTTACTTAAGACATATAGAATCAGTACTGTGGATAAAATTGAGCATGGGTGTGAATAAAATTATTTTTGCACATGAAATAAACAGTAGGAGTAACACGTGAGACAATTAAATGATGACAGTGGTACGGTGCACCTCTTTTGAACAAGAAGAATGGCAATTGCAAGAAAGTTCTTCTCGATACTGAAGAGAATTGCTACAGCCTCAAAAATGTGTCACTCTTGGCTTTCTATAGAAACTAGTCTGGTCATTAAGTGACCAGCAGTAGAATCCAACTGACGGTATTTTCATATTGATAAGAAAAATTATCCTTTCTGAAGGCTTCTTATTCCTCCTTCATTGCTACCGGTAAAACACTACAAGAAGGCATAGTAGTAGTAACACATCTTTAGTAAAGTACTACTATAAAATAAGATCAACATAATAAATAAGAAGCTTTCAAATTGGCCAAATATTGAGCTTATTTTGACCAAGAAAGAGGTGCAAACTGCACCAGTATTTAAGAACAGAGGTAGTAAGAAGTACTACTAGTAGCTACTACTACTTCTTCTTTTCCTTGTTCTTCTTGAAACATCATTCTCCTTCTTGCTGTCGTACTACTAGTACTACTACTACTAGTATTAGTATTAGCAAAAGCTAAATTTTGATACTCTCAATAACATCAAGAACAAAAGATCAGTACCCAACATCATGGGCAACAGACATCACAGACAACAAGAAATCAATGTTCCCATTCTTCTTTCTATTTTCTTCTTGTTAATTAATAACTACAGTGCTGGAACACACAGAAACTGGTCTGAGCTCTTTAATTTTTAGTTCGGCTTCATCTTTTCTTTTGTCCTATGTTACTCGCTAGAGATTATATGTTTTATTGAAGTTCATTGATTTCCTTTGCAGTAGAAACCATGATCGAGAAAAGTATATCAATCAACTTCAAGAAACCAATCAGCTGCACAATTGGTTGAAGAAGAATTCACCATCGAAAAGAGGAAAAAGAAAACCAACTACGTTGTTGACGACAACGCCGCACAACTGTGGATTTATTTGTTGTCTTTCATCTATCGATCCGATGATCACCGGACCAATTGCAATGTGCGCAAGCCACAAGCCCCGGCAGTCCCTTCCAGGAAGGTTTGGTGCATCGCTCGGGAGAACGAGGAGAGCCAGAACTGCTGTAGCYGTCGTCGCTACGGTATTGACGGCATCGGCAACCGTTTCTGTGTCGGCCTTCGCTGGCACCGGCCTACAACGAAGGACGCGTCCGTCGCTCCGCACCGATATTCTCCGCATCCCGGGAGCGCAACAAAGAACTCGGCGCTTTCGCAACGGGGCTGTTCTTTCCGGAAACGTTGGTGCCATCCGTTGCGGTGAAAGCATTAGGAGCAGCAGAACAAGAGTCGATGGCGCATCGAAAAATCTATGGTCCATCCAGGATTGCTTGGAGCAATGGAACTCGCTGGACGGGAATACGAGTACTGCCACGAAGGATGGGGAAGGTGCCGGAACGCAGCAGGAGCAACGACAGCAACGGATTGTATTCGTGGATGCCACCTGGTACCACAAAGGAGAGAGAAACGGACGTGACGAATTCGAGGCCGGGCCGCGGCTCCCCGGTGCCTTCCACTGGGACATTGGCGATCTCGCCACCACCGSGGAATTGTTTCCCGAAGACAATCCAAAGGGCCTCAAGAACGTATTTCCACCCGAGTGGTTGGTCGGCTCCGCGCTCGAGCGAATGGGCGTTCTGCCGGACGCCACCACGGTCGGCAGYGGTGGTCCCGATGCCACCGGCGGTCCCTCGCCCGCTGCTTCTCCCGTYACGCTTGTGGTATACGGCCGGGACGGCACGCGCTTTGCTCCCCGCGTGTGGTACATGCTCCAGAAGTACTACCGCGGTGGTCCCGTCCGGCTGCTCCAGGGGTCGCTGGAGGAGTGGATCGAGCGGGGGGGACCGGTCGATCGAGGACCACTGAAGGACTCCGATGACGGCAGCGCGGTGCTGCAGGCACAKGATCTGGCAGAAGGATCGGAACCCCCGTCACTCCACCCCTGGATCTCGTCCGAGGCGAGGAATCGATTGGTAGACATGRCATTCGTACTGGAGTGCTTGAAGGACGAGCAGCAGCAACAAGAAGGACAAAAGACGGACGCCAATTTGCCCTCCGTGATCATTGACACCCGTGGATCGTCCTTTGCCAAGAAGGGCCACATCCCGGGCGCGGTCCACGTCCCGTACGCCTCCCTGACCCTTCCAGAGGATTTCACCACGCTGAAAYCCAGGGAGGAGCTGGAGAAGGTGCTGAGAAAGGCCATGGGAGACGARMRCTACGACCGGCTTGGGGAGCAACCCCCCCTTTTGACGTGCGGGACCGGCGTCTCGGTGTGCACCCTCGCGCTCGTCCTAGACGARCTGGGGCTTCCGGAACCGTGGATCTACGACGGGAGCTGGAACGAATGGGGRGGAGACCCCACCACGCCAAAGGCGGGGGTTCCCTGATGTGTCGAAACCGCTGCGGGTGAAATCGGGTTTGGTCGGTTCGATTGGATATTGTCCTGTATTCTGGTTTACGTTCGGTGATAGGATGTTGGTGTGGTGYTGCTTTCWCTGAACTATGGTGAAAGTGCATCGAACACGAATCCGACTCACATGCTTTGACAAGGCGATTTGGAAATTCAACTTGWTGTTTGTTATAAACAACCAAGTCAAATTTCCCTCCTCGTTGTTGACTGCTMTCCATGCATGTTTTTGAAGTCCTCAGTCCAGACCGAAGTTGCACTGAAACTCTCCTAAAACGAACGGGTTGACGCACCTCTGCTATCTCCTTCATTTGTGATACAAGGC